TGCCTGGGCCTGGCCTGGAACTCCCTCTGCCTCAGGCTGACCTTTAACTCAGGAATCTACCTGCTTTTGTAAGCATAAACAAATTAATTTAGCTGAGTGGGATTTTGTCCAGTAATCACCACTCCCTAAATCTCTTTATCTCCTTAGTTTCTTTCTGACAAGCTGGCTCATAGTGCAGTTGCCTCTGTTACTTTAGATCTGCGAAGCTCCGTATACAAGTCATATTGCATCCTTATGTTTTGCATAGTTGAGAAATTATGTTTTTGAACTCACGTTGTTGGGGTTCTTTTCCACAGCGTTAAGGGCTGTTCTGAAGGTCTCAGCATTTATCATTTTACCAAGACATTAGTCACACCCTCACCTCCTAGACTCGGGCTATCTCTTATTATCATGGAGTTGTTGATTTTATGAGAAAGGACATTCCTCAAAGGAGGAATGTGAAAATATATACACTCTTATACAAACAAGCCTTATGGCTACAGCTCTGTTCCAGGGGTGGGTACCATGTTATTCCAACCCTTACATGACCATGCCAGACTTGGCAAATATGTGTGTGTGTATACTTTTTATACATATATATATTACAAATACAAATTACAGATATTTGTATATACTACAAATGTATATGTATATATTTGTACACACACACACACAATATATATATATATATATATATTTGTAGTACAGATATATGTGTATATATAAATAGCAACAGCAAAAGAAAACCTGCTTTTAAATTAATTCTGGAATACAAAATGTGTATTTGCAAAAATGACCAATTTTCACCTAAAAGGGTATTCAAATATTGTTTCCAATTATCTGTAATAGTTTTACTTATTTATTTATTTATTCACCTTATAGCCTCATATCACAGCCTCCCTCCCTCATTCCTCCAGTCCCTTTTCTTCAGAGATGGGGAGGCCCCCCGCCCCCTATGGGTACCAGCCTACCCTGGTACATCAAGTCTCAGCAGTACTAATTGCACCCTCTCCCACTGAGGCCAGACAAAGCAGGCCAGCTACAGGAAAAGGATCCAAAGCAGGCAGCAGAGCCTGAGACAGCTTCCACACAAATTGTTAGGGGCCCAGATGAAGAACAAAGTGCACATCGGCTACACCTGTGTAGGAGGCCTAGGTGCAGCCCATGCGTGCTGTCTGGTTGGTGGACAAATCTCTGAGCCTCCATTGGCTCAAGTTAGTTTACTCTGTAGGTCTTCTTGTGATGTCCTTGATCCCTCCAGCTCCCTCAATCCTTCTCCCTACTCTTCCTTGCACAGGACTCCCTAAGCTCTGCCTTGTTTTCATGTGCTGCTAGATGAAATCTCTCAGAAGACAGTTATGCTAGGCTCCTGTCTCCAAGCATAGGAGAACATCATTAATAGTGTGGGGGTTGGATCCCTCCCATGGGATGGGTCTCAAGTTGGGCTAGTCATTGGTTGGCCATTCCCTTGGTCTTTATCCCTGTCTTAACCAGATTATATTTCTGAAAAATTAGGGTCTACAAACTGTTATATAAAAGAATTTCAATTTGTCACTCTTTTTTTTTTTTTTTTCCCCGAGACAGGGTTTCTCTGTGTAGCCCTGGCTGTCTTGGAACTCACTCTGTAGACCAGGCTGGCCTCGAACTCAGAAATCCACCTGCCTCTGCCTCCCAAATGCTGGGATTAAAGGCGTGTGCCACCACCACCCAGCTCAATTTGTCACTCTTAAACTTCTGATTTGAATCCCAGGTTAAACATTAGTAATATCTTGGTTTACAATGAAAGTTTTTGGTTTTGTGATACATTTGTGAATTAGTGACTATATGTTGTTTTATAAATGAGTGACTTTATCTGGTTAGTTACCAATTAACGTATGTTAATACATGTAACTGGTTCATTATCATAAAACATACTAAAACTTGGGCTTCCTGACCTTTTATTTATTTATTTTTATTTTTATTTTTTTTTGGTTTTTAGAGACATTTCCTGACCTTTTAATTCCGTCGTTCTGCTTACTGTATAAAACCTTTGGTTGTGTAGTGTGACACAGCTACCAGCAAAGAAATCTGTTTGTGACAAGAAAGCTCCCTTGTCTTCATTTTTTTTTAATTAATGAGCACATCTTTCAGCAGATGCTCAATGCAGGATTATATTGCATTTGCAATGTATTTGCAGGATATTTGTAGGATTAACTCTTGTAAAATTTAGAATGACCCAAGGACTGGAAAGATGGCTCAGCGATTAAGAGCTCTTGCAGAGGACCTGGGATTCGTTCCAGCACCCATAAATGGTATAATTGCCTTTGTCTCCAGCTCCAGGGGATATGATGCCCTCTCTGACCTCCAATGACACTGTACACATATGATGCACATATATACATATAGGTAAAAAATTACACATAAAATGACCTTAATTATCTTGTATTTGTATGCATGCAGTTAAAAGTGCTCAACTCAAATTGCCAGTAATCCCCATGCATCTATTGGGTGGGCACTGGGGCTGGAAAGATAAGTTTAAGAGCACTAGCTGCTCTTACAGAGGACTTGGGTTTGGGTCTCAGCAGCCAAATGGAATCTTACAACCATCTTTAACCCCAGGCACTTCCTCTGGCCTCCTCCAGTATGGCAAGCACACAGTGTGCCATCAATACATGAAGGCAAAACACCCATAGATACTAAAAAATGTTTTTCTTTCTTGTCAAATAAGGAGTAGGACTAGGGGTTCAAAGGATTAAATAGGAGCTAGCTGTATTGATTACCTCACTATGGTAAGATAATGGATTTCAAAAGCAATTTAAGTGAAGAGGACTTCATCTTGGCTCTTGGTTTAGAGACTACAGTCCATCATAGAAGGTGGGGCATGACCAAGTTATCAGCTTCTTTGGCAATGGTAATGTAGAGCTCTAAGGATCAGGAAACAGCTCTGGCCAATAGTAGATGTGGCCTGTAACCTCTGGGACTCCACCAGGTCTCCTGTGAGAAGGTTCCTGGACCTAACAGAACAGCATCACCAGCTGGGAATCACTTATTCAAGCAGGGGTGTATGGGGAACATTTCACACTTAAAACCGTAAGTTTATCCAATGAGAAGACATTGGAAGTTAAGTTATAATTTGTCTTATGATTTTAATTTAGCACAGTTTTGTTTGTTTGTATGTTTAGAGACACTCTGATTTTGTCACTCTGGCTGTACTGGAATCCGCTTTGTAAACCAGGACTCAGATATCTCTGCCTGCCTTTGCTGGGATTATTGGCATGTGCCACCATGCCTAGTATATGTGTCTGTATCTTGTTGGGAATCACAGAAAATCTACTGATTCATCCTAAAAAAAAAAAAGGCTCATGTTCACAATCACTTTAGGAGTCTCTTGACACTTATAGTTTGTCAGACCTGATGTTGAAGCAGCTCTCTCTTCAACAATCCATTATTCCCATAAACTTTAACATTAATTTTAGTCAATATGCTAAACACATAAACAAAATACAAAAAAAACTTTCAATTGGGTAACAAGAACGTTTTAAGAACCAACAAGAGAAATACGTACAAATAACAAAAATGGTCTGGCAGGCATGGTGGTGCATTCGTTTGATCCCAGAACTCGAGAGGCAGAGGCAGGTGGATCTTGTGAGGCCAGCCTGGTCTACATAATGAGTTCCAGGATAGCTAAGGCTATATAGTGAGATTTTGTGTCAAAAAGCCAGGAGGCAGGGCTGATGAAAACTGGCTTGGTGGTTAAGAGCACTTACTGCTCTTGCAGAAGACCTGAGCTCAGTTCCTAGCACCCATATGGAGGCCTATAACCATCTGAAACTCGTTTCATGGGATCTGACATCCTCTTCTGACCTCCTTAGACCCCTGTACACATGTGGTACCCTCTCTTTCTCTCTCCCTCTCTCCCTTCATCATCATCATTAGCAGGTCCACTGGGAATAAAATGAGATCTTGTATCTCAGAAAAACAAAAGCAGATTTAGCAACTGTCTTCAGTATTTTATTTTTAATAATTTTTTAATTTATTTTTTATTTTTTAGATTTATTTATTTATGTGATGTATGTGAGTACACTGTCACTGTCTTCAGACACATCAGAAGAAGGCATCAGATCCCATTACAGATGGTTGTGAGCCACCATGTGGTTGCTGGGAATTCAACTCAGGACCTCTGGAAGAGCAGTCAGTGCTCTTAACCGCTAAGCTATCTCTCCAGCCCCAATATTTTATTTTATAGGAGCTAAATGTGGATAAAATATAAACACATTCATTCCACTTCTAGTATTTTCCAACTTGAGAAGAATCAAGGACTAATATATATTCCTCAGGTACATAACAAATGTCCTATAAAAAACTGAAAAACAGGTAGAACATAGCTCCGTTGGTGCGTGCTCACATAGTCTAGCACCACAAAAACTGGGAGGGATAGCATACACCTGTAATTGTAGCTCTGGGGAAGTAGAAAACAGGAGAGTCAGAAGTTTAAGGCCATCTTCAGCCAAGCTACTTAGGAGGGAGTTGTTCAAGGCTAGCCTGGCAGACAAAGAGGGTCTCAAGGACAACCGCCCTCCCTTCCAATCAAACTAAGCCAACCGAAACCAGAATCCAACACCTCCCCCCACCCCCCAGTAAACCAGTGGGATGTGTTGGCTCATGCCAACAATCCCAGCACTAAGGTTTTAGGCAGGAGGGTAACTGTGAATTTGAAGGCAGCCAGATATACATACAGTGAGGCTGAGGCCCTGACTCAAACCCTTGGCCACCCCAAAGACTAAATACTCAACTATCAAATAGTCAGGTGTAATGTTATACCCATTAATTCCAGTATTCTTGAACACTCTTAGGCCAGAGGATCTGAACTTGAGCTTAGTCTTCAACGGCAATACAGCAGAACTCTTAACAAAACAAAAATTAAAATGCCTCAAAATGGAAAGTTTCGGCCTGAATAATTGCAAAGACTAATCTTCAAATACTGTTTTGTCAATGATAAGGTAACTTTGATCCATATTAGAAGGAAAAAGCGACCCCAATACTTACTTTATGGTTTTTAATAAGCTATTCTTACATGTACACTAACAATTGTAAAAAGACATAATTGCTACTAAAAGTTACAGACTGTACAACTTATGAAAATATTAGAAATATTCAAAAGTAATAAAGGGAAGTACTTCAAATAGAATATGAAATTTCTACTTAAGAAATGTAACCAGAAAATGGGAAACATCTAAGTGGACAAAGAAATCTATTTCAGTTCAAGCCTTTTGTTGACATTACCTTAGATAAATCTTCCAATATATCCAGGGCTATGAAGAGGATGCCTGACGACCATCGGCAGGCAGGGCAGAGGCTGTCTTCCTGACTTTAGTCCCCTGAGGCTCGACCCCATGTTAAAATGCTTTTAAGACACTTTGCAACTATAAGCTGACCTGGGGCAAGCACAGGTTTCAACCCTTGGTCCAGCTGTCACTCTGCACTTTAGTACTCAAGTGGATCCCCATTCCGGCCTTCGCTCTTAAATGGAGTAAGACAAGCCTATCTGCAGCTTTCTCCGTCAGGCCTCAGAAAGGACCGTCAAAACCACACTGTCTTGGGGCTGTGCACTTCTATGTCTGATTTATTTCTCAGGTAACAAGTTAATTTCAATGTATGGAATAATGCATTTTCAATGCAGAATAAATATGTTTATGAGTAAGAACAGAGTAAAGGTCTTCCCCATGTTTTAAATAACAGATACATAGCATCTTAAATTATTATATAATTAGCAATTTTAGACATTGAACATAATACACTGTATTACAATGCAATGTGGTAGGCTTCTACTTAAGGAACAAAAATAAATTTCACATGAAAAGAGATTTATTCTGATTCACATAAAATATATTCAGCATAACCGTAACTGAAGCACTCCAGTGCTGACAGCACAGAGGAGCTGGGAGAGGAGAGCCGCCTCTGCCCGGGGCGAGCCTCACTCATCCTCACCTCGCCGTCTCAAATGCCGGGATTTCCCATTTTCAATTCTTCTCTTTTTGAAGACAGGGGCCACCCCATCTGCTGCAACTCCCAGAGAAGAAACTGTTTTCTCTTTAAATTCCACTTTGATTTCCCCAGTGCCAGCCTCTGAAGTTGATAGACATTCACTTTCAGTGCTCGGAAGTTCCAAATCGACCTCTTCTCTGGAACAGAAGAGAACAAAACTATTAGCTGACAGATTAAGGTAAATCCCTGCATATGAACCACGAGCCACCCAAGCACCGAAGGCACCTTCCCAAGGGTAACACTGAGGGTACAGCAGAAGCTGCTCACCTGGGAACACTAAGCTACTTCTGTTTTGGCTTTTTTTTTTTTTTTTTTTTTTTTGTTTTTCGAGACAGGGTTTCTCTGTGTAGCCCTGGCTGTCCTGGAACTCACTCTGTAGACCAGGCTGGCCTCGAACTCAGAGATCCACCTGATTTGTCTCTGCCTGTTTTTGCTTTTTAAAGACAGCGTCGCATGTAGTCCTGGCTAACCTTACACTCTGATGTCACTGTGGATTACTTTAAGCACCCAAGCCTCTAAATCCATCCCTCCAGTCCTGGGTTAGGTGTGCACTGCCTGGCTCTAGCAGATTTATAATGCTGACTTTAGTCTCAAAACAGTAAACTCTGCCTCAGACAAACATGTGCTAGGACAAGTCTTATTTGTTCTATTTTTGTTACACAAAGAACACAGCATCTTATTACACACTCTGTTTGTATATGACATGCAGTAAAAACAGGTAATAGGGAAGTTGTAGAAACTGGTTTTGCCATGGACTGACAGAGATTTTAATTAATTAATTAATTAATTTATTTATTTATTTATTTTGTTTTTCGAGACAGGGTTTCTTTGTGTAGCCCTGGCTGTCCTGGAACTCACTCTGTAGACCAGGCTGGCCTAGAACTCAGAAATCTGCCTGCCTCTGCCTCCCAAGTGCTGGGATTAAAGGTGTGCACCACCACTGCCCAGCGACAGAGATTTTAAAAGTTTCCAAAATATGAGACGGAAAGAATGGAATCTTAATGTCCTATTATAGGAGATTCAATGTCTAGCATCTTTTTCTTCTGAGAAATACCCGTTCAACTATCTATAAACAATCTGGCTGGACCAGAAATCAGTTACCTGCTTAACATGAGCCTTTCAGTACCTTATCCTCTAGAGCAGTAATTCTCAACCTTCCTAATGCTATGACTCTTTAATACAGTTCCACTTGTTGTGGTGACCCCCAACCAAAAAATGACTTTTGTTGCTACTACATAACTGTGATTTTACTACTGTTATGAATCTCAATGTAAATATCTATTTTCTGATGGTTTTAAACAATCCCTATGAAAGGGTTTTCTATCCTCTAAAAAGGTCATGACCCACGGGCTGAGAAACATTGCCTTAGGCAGTCAACTGCTCTATGAAAGAGTTAGCTCATCAATTCCACACATGAGATTTCTGGAGAGAGCTCTCATCTCATATCTTCTGAAAAAGGTATTGGCCTAAAGCTTTGCTATTAAAAGTACAGAGCTTGTCTGAGGAGGAGTTATCTCAAGAGTAAGGCGGAGGTGAACATAAAGGATCACAGACTGCACAGCCTCCTAAGGATTTTATTTAAGCCCTTGGGTCTAGCCACACCTGATACCACTGCATCTGAGTCACATGACCACAGAACAGTGATGGGGGAACAGTGGTAACTCATCAGCTGACTGATACTACAAGTTAGAGACAGTATGATTTTTATGTTGTTTACCAGAGCTAAACCTTATTTATAATACTATTCAATGATCTTAATGACTTACTCCTGAAAGTGCTTGTGACTGAACCTAGATAGGTTGCATGATAGTCAAGAATTCTATTAATTATATCCACAGCCTCAATAACCTTAGTCAAACGTATAGGATAACAAATTTTCTTTTTTTACACAGACATGTATAAAGTCTATGTTTCCAACCTATAGAAATGTGAGTAAAACACAGTTCCTAGAATATGACTGTTTCTAGAGTTATTTCAATAATGTAAGAACAGTTGGACAATGTTAAGATCGTAAAAATTGCTGGGCAGTGGTGGCGCACGCCTTTAATCCCAGCACTTGGGAGGCAGAGGCAGGTGGATTTCTGAGTTCGAGGCCAGCCTGGTCTACAGAGTGAGTTCCAGGACAGCCAGGGCTATACAGAGAAACCCTGTCTCGAAAAAAAACAAAAAACAAAAAACAAACAAAAGATCGTAAAAATTAAAGTGCAAGGACAAAATAAAGATGGTAAGGTGGCAATTCAACTTAATTCTGGTAAGTTGTGCAGTCCATGCCCGCAGTCCCAGCACTTGGGAGGCTGAAGCAGGAGGACTCGGGAGTCCCAGGCCAGCTGGGCCTCACAGCAAGACCCCCAAATCAAAAATTTCATGTAGGTGTGGTGGTAGTACATACCCGTAATACCAAGCACTTGGGTTGTGGACTCAGGAAGACAATAAATTGGGAGGCACTATGGGCTTCATAGTAAATTCAGAGCTAGTTTACACCATGCAGAGAGACCCTATGTGAGATGGTCCAGCAATTGCAGGGGACCAGAGTTTGGTTTCCTCCAATACCACTGGTTTCCTGAGTAACAGCAGTCACATGTATACATACTCAGAAAGGTGGTGAGAAGGCAGAGACTGATCTATGTAGTGAGGTCAGGGATGATAGTGGGGAGGAGATGCATTCACTCTCCCACTTCCCCAGCCTCCCGTGTACCTCTCCTTTCAGTCTCTCTTCCTTGTTTATGTATCAGGTGTCCTTTTGTCCTCCCTCAAATCCTTTCTCATAGTATACATGAGTGTGTATAAAACCATCTTTCTGTTTTAAGTGACAAGAACTGAAAGAGAGTCTACTATACTCTAGTAACTTCCATGTGCAGACATCAATGTCCTTGTCATTATTTGGGGTATACAGAGCTGCCTAGGACTTGCATTACTCTACTACAAAAAAAGTACAACTTGTCCATTAAAGGGTAGGCTTTGGCTTTGGTTTTGGTTTTGACAGCTTTTTGAGATAGGAAACTCACTGTGTAGTATATGCTTCTGAAGCAAATCTTGCCTCTGTGTCCTAAGTGCTTGTGTCATGAGTATGCACCGTGATCCTTGGCCAAGAATCTTACTAATAAACAATTCATTATGGAAGTACAGTAAAAGTATCCATCCTACACTATAATTTCAAAGCACCAATTTAAAGAATATCTACTTTACCCATACACCTTCCCTTTACCTTGAAGGTTCCCTTGAAGGTTAAAGAAAAAAAACAAAACAAAACAAAACAAAAAAAACAAACAAACACTAAAATGATTGCCTGACAGTGACATATAATTACCTTGTAAAATAAATGCCTCTAAAAAAAAACTTATTTGAGCACTTAAGTCAGTAACATAAATCAGGTACAACCTTTGCACAAGTGTGCTTAATTACTGATAACCTCTTCTGCTACTTTGACTATGAGCTTAAAACTTTGAAGTTTAGAGCCAGGCATAGTGGTACACCCATTAATACTAGCACTCTTGACATGGGGCCAGATCAGGCTACACAAGACTCAAAAAAAGAAAACCAAAGTAAACCAAACCAACCAAAATAAAATTCACACCCACAATACACTTTGGGTAAGAATATACAAAAAATACTGAGTAGAGTGAGACACTTCAAGAGAGTAAGAGCAAACACTTCTTCACCTTTAAATGCATTCTGTAGTTAAAGTGTCTTGCAGAATATTTCCTCTAAGCATTTGTTTTTCTGATAAAAACTGCTACTGAGTGTGTGAATGTGGTCACTAGAAATGTCACGCTTTGGACACAAAACAATCACTAAGTTGGCTTAAAGCAATCACTTTTTCATCTTTTAAAGTTAAAAATATTCTAGGAATGAAAGAAAGCAAAATTAAAAATATTCTAAGAATGGGTGCTGGACAGATGGCTTAGTGGTTAAGAGCACTGTCTGTTCTTCCAGAGGTTCTGAGTTCAATTTCCAGGAACCACATGGTGGCTCACAAACATCTGTAATGGGATCTGATGCCCTCTTCTGGTGTATACCATATATGGACATAGAACATTCACACAATGAATAAAATTTAAAAATATATATATTCAGTGATAGAGAGATGGCTTGGAGGTTAAGAGCACTGAATACTCTTCTACAGGTCCTAAGTTCAATTCCCAGTAACTACATGGTGGCTCACAACCTTCTGTAATGAGATCTGATGTCCTTTTCTGATGTGCATGAAGAGAATGACTCATATACATAAATAAATATTAAAAAAATATTCTAAGAACATAAGAAAGAGCACAGCACACTGACTCCTGACTGCAGTGTGCTGAGGTGCATGGGCATGGCAGTGGGTGACACTGTGCGGGTGACACCTCAGGTACTTACTGACACTCAGCAGCCTCTTGTTTAATTTCTTGCCATTCCCCATAAGGGTTCGTCGACTTCTTCAGAGTTTTGGGTTTTTCTTCATTTGTATTTGACGGATTCTGTTTTGGAGTACTTTTTTCTTTTTGTATTTCTGGGCCAATTCTTTTCTCAGTACTTTTATTTTTTTCCTGAAATGCAAAGGTCAATAAATAATACACTACAGCAAAACTATAGTCAACCTCCAAAACTTTTTAACTTCTTTTAATAGTCTTATTAATAATACTAATAATCATTAACTTAATGGTTTAGGTTTTTACACTACACAATGAATGTACATGGACGAACGATGTCTAAAACTTTAATGCATTATGTTTAATGACACTTTTAAAAAATGTACCATGATGATACACACAGACAGTGGTGGCACATGCCTTAAGCAAGTCCAGCACAGCCAGGATTACACAGAACAACTGACAATAACTCCCCTTCGGAGCAGAAGCAGTCCCTACAGATGTCCCAGGGGAGATTCTTTCTGATATGTCTTCACTGGGCTTAGAAAGCCTTTTAACCTCCTTTCCCACCTCAGTGTGTACACCATACACATACTGGGGTTTCAGCCTCTTTGCAAATTACACAGCCATGAGTAGCTTGACTGGAATTTTTTTGTATTCTACAATGGTTCTTAACTCATCCCTTATGTAGCTCAGGTAGGCCCGAACTTTAATTTTCCCATCTTTGCTTATCAAATGCCAAAATCACCAGAATATGTCACCGTGTTCAGCAACATGATTTTCTCGTTCCCTTTTCCCTAGACAGGGTCTCATTGTGATACCCTGGCTGACCTCAAACTCAGATCTGCCTGCCTCTGTCCCTCAAGTGTTGGAATTGAAGGCACATGCTACCACATCCCCAGACATGATTTCTGTAACAAAACCTCTAGCTTTTACTTCTGCTTCACTGTGTTTCAGTCACCTAGTATTAAATAAAACATTAAATTCTGGTCTGGGGATGTAGCTCAGACAGTATCATACAGAAGGCCCTTTTCCAAGCACAGTATAAACTGGACATTATGGTACAGACCTATAATCCCAGCATTTAGGAAGAGGCAGGAGGATCAGTTCAAGGTCATCTTTAGCTACATAGGGAGTTCAAAGCCAGACTGGGCTGGAGATTTTGTCTTAAAAAAAAAATTTTTTTTTGCCCTTAGCCCCAAGCAAAAATCCCTAAGACTGTCATTTATTTTTATTCAACCTAAGTCAGAACTCTAAATGCTTTCCTTATGACGTCTTCTGACTCTGTAGTTCTTATTTCCTTTGGCTTTCTGACTCTCTCACTTGTACTGTACTGTTCATCTGACTCCATATCATTTCCAAGACGGTGTTCTCAGTCTGTTGGTCTCTTTTAGACTTTGCATCCTTCTTTTACAGTTCAAATTCATAAGAGTATCACTTTAAACTCTCCTTTGCTAGCATCCTAAACATGTTTGCTTGTAGCTTTCTACTGCACATAACTGAAAAATATCCATAGTTCTTTTTTTTTTTTTTTTTTTTTTTTTTTT